TTACTTTCGCCAGCATATCTTCGAAAACTCCTAGCATTTTTCCAGAATCGCTTATTGAAATAAGGCAATTTTTGCAATTTTGAGAAGTATTCGACATCGAAATCTATATTTAAGAATTTTTTGTGGATTTTTAGGCAAGTATTCAAGAAGCTCAATATTTCAATGGCAACCTTATGAAATTTTCGACGTTTTTTATTCAACCTGGAAAATCACCGAAGGAGATTTTTTTGTAGAGTACAACCTCCGGAAACTATTTTGGGTTTCATTTCTTCAGAATCTACTAACATTTTTCTTGAATCGATCAAAATACATGTATAAAATTTTAGGGTTTTTAAAAACTTGACTTCCAAACTGTATACCCTCCATTCATCAGAGGGTAGGTCATTTGGCAAAATCAGTCTTATCTTATCAGCCCCGTCCACTCGTCCTTCATTTTCTTAGAGAGTAGATCATTTGCCATTATCAGCAGGTACTAGCCCCGCCCACCCACCCTCTCTTTTCTTAAAGTGTATGTCATTTGCCAAAATCGATCTTATTTTAGTAGGTACTAACCCCGCCCACCCGCCCTCTATTTTCTTAGAGAGATCTCATTTGCCAAAATTAGTCGTTCTTAAGAAGTTTTATGTTGTGAAAAAAAAGTCTACACACATCACAACCTTTGTGTTTTTAATTTTTTCTTAATATACATTATTCTTTGAATAACACAATACTTAAAAACATGTGTTACATGGTAATTTCTTGTAGAGAAATAATAAGGATTTTGCAATTAAATGCCGCTCCTTTGGTTCTCGACGATTAAAAAAAAATCATCACAATTGAGATCGGGTGGGTGAGCGGGCCTTGTATTTTGCCTTTTTTTGATACACGTCTTTTCAGAACTAGAAACTTAAAAAATGTTTAAAATGGTAAATTCTTGTAAACAAATATGGATCTTGCCATTAAGCCCCGCCCCTTGATCAGACAACGAATGAAAAATTCATCACAATGGATAATTGAGATCGGGGTGGGTATGGGTGGGGCCTAATCTTTGCTTTGATTTTTTCTTAATATACATAGTATTCTTTGAACAACATGATACTCAAAAACATATTTTTAATTTCTCGTAGAGAAATAAGGATTTTGCAGTTAAGCTGCGCCCTCTTGGCTCACGACGAATAAAAAAATTCGTCACAATTGAGATAGGGCGGGTGGGCGGGGCTACATTCTGCCTTTTTTTCTTAATATGTGTATCAACGGTAACTTGGCAACGGGTTTATAAATGACAATTTTCAGCTCTAAAAGCAACGTCAGCGGGAACAGCAAGTGCAACGGGAACTTCAAGGCCAACAGCAAGTTTATAAATTCCAGTTCATACAACAAATGCTTCTATATATGTAGTGTACGAATTCTCTTTAAGTTTTTTCCCTAAACGGCCGAATGTTCACAAAAAAGTTTACACATCTTACCACTAACTCACTAACAGTCCGTGGTTATGCTGTTAGGGCGTCAACCTGAGGCCCGGCTTAATTAATAATTTTAGTCATCTGTTTTGAGGTGGCAAAATTCAAATCAAACAAATTTCTACGTGACATTTTTCCGATGTATAAACAAACATTCGAAGTTAAAGCTTGTTATTATTGCTGAGAAGCCATTTTTTCTGTTTTAATTATATTTTACTTTGTCTGTACTTGTGCAATTTTATTTTATTTATGCCGCTGATGTTTAAAAGAAAAAAATCTATAAAGATAGAGGTTAACACAAAATCTTAAGAATTTTATATAATTTTCAAAAAACAATTTGTTGGACTTGTACTTGGACCAATTTTTTATGTACTAAGTGCATGTAATGGAAAAAAAGTTCTTTGACAAATTTAACAAAGTTTATAGTTTGTTGAAATGTATAAACATCATATATTCAGTGTACGGTGTTCGTGATCTTGCAGGCAGGACAAAATAGCAGACCATGTAAATTTAATGCATTTATTTTGTGCCGATAGTAAACTACCACAGCAATAATTGTAATATGTGAGTTTTTAATATGTATAGATATGTATATTTGAAGTTTAGATACAACATACAGGATGTCTATAAATGATTCATACATCCAGTATTCGTTGGAAAAATTTAAATTTTTTAGATAAAATAATTTTGCCGCTTGTATGGAAAGATGTTTTGTATACGATTTTATTTTTAAAATAAGATTTAAATAAGTCACAAAAATATTGAAAGTGAATATCCTCGCTGTAAGAGGGACACAATCCTGACGTTTTAGTCTAAAGAATAAAGAATTCGTTGCAATAGAATTACACCAGTTGCCGTTGTGAAGAACCTCCCCCTTAATATTAAAATAGTTCCTTTAAACACTACAGCAAAATCCGCCTTCTAATTAAAAGTGTGAAAAGTGTGAAATCAGCAAAAAGATGGAATTTGTTAATTTTAATTAATTTTTACAACTTAAGCCGAAGCGTCTGCCGCCGCCCAAGGTGACTTATTCCATTATGCGCATCGACTACGTAAATGATTCAAAGTGCTGGCTGAAATTTATCTTGGCATTAATTCTGATTTACGAGAATCGCTGAAACTCGCTTAGTTTCCGTCCCATTTCTCATCTCGATCCATCTATTTGTCGCATCTAAGGCAGTCCCGAATAATTGCTACAGAAACATAAAAAAGTAGGATATCCCGCTGGCTTTAGCCATTCTAAAAAAATACACCACCGAAAAGACGAGATCCCGCAGGATACCATTACTAAATTAATTGGCCGGAATGAGCAAAAACGAGATCAGTTAGCGAGCGGCAAACGGAAAAATATATACACATCCAACAAATTTGAAGCATAAATTTAAATTGGTTTAAGTGAAGACGTTTTTTTGTATCTGTATGGTTAATGTTAGCCTTTGAAGACTGCACGCCTGAATTACTGCCGTTGGTACAAAAGCTCACCTTTTACTATAATATTTGAATTACACAAAATTTGCGTCATCTCTGACGCAAATTCTATCGAAAGTTGATTTGATTTGTACGCCTACTCTGTCAGAAACATGTAATATATCACTTCTCAAACAGTTTCATTACTGTATGTAAATACGGGAAAATAAAACGATTATAACGCCATGCTGACCTCGATGTCTTTGCCAAACACCCCAAAAAACGCTTATCCCCAGTATTAATGTTTGCCCAGTTTTGTTCGAGTTGATTCAACAACTCGTATTCTAAACAAATAAAAATAAATATAATTTACATATTTATTAGAGCTGCATCCCGACCGTTATGTCTCGAAATTTGGATATCCAGGATGTTTTAAATAATATATGGAACCTCAATACATAATCCATCAGCAATTCATGGTGTATTTTATTATTTAAGGAAGATATCAGTTTCACGTCGGGTTTTTATTGTGAGATTTATTTCTTCTCGATAAAAATTTTACAACTGTCAAAACAAATTTAAACAATCCGTCGGCACTGTTTGCTGTGTTTTATAATATTACAACGAGGGTAAATCACCACGTAATATCATGCGTTTCTTTATTGTTCTGCTTTTGTGCGCATTTCGCACGTTTCGGGATGAAAAATTCTTATTTGAGGTTGAGTTTCATCATTTTTTCAGACGGATTATATTACTCATGACATTGAATAAAATTCTTAAATCCGAGAATTTTCCAAAGTAAAATTTTATTAATGTTCAAAGCATGGTTGTGCGGCATATAGATACCTTCTCTGTAATGTAGGTGCCCTTACAATAACAAGGAGTGTAACATTTACGTAAATATAATATAATATAAATTAATGTAACAATAGTTCAAACATTGCTGATTTAAATCTGAAACAATAACGACAAATTGTTTGTTTAATTTTACTGTCCTTGCAAAATTGATTTACTGAGTTCATTTTTTACAATAGGGTTTTAAACTTTTTAAGCTGAGCCAAAAAAATCTAAATGGATTGTGTAACTACAAATTGTATAAATGAACTGTTTGAGAGCTTCAAAAGTTAGCATGTCTACTTGCAACCTTAAAATTCTCCAAGAAAGTTTAGTTTTTACTCATCTCTTCAATAAACTACAGTATTTTAAATTTCTTGCTGACATTTAACCGATAACAGGATCTGTGAAAGTTGATCTGAAAATTTTTAACAACCGTTTTGTTCAAGGTGGCGTTTGTCAGAGCTTAATTATATCGTCTGCTATTTATTTTTTTATGTAAGTGTTAAATATATAGGTTGTTCTTATATTTGGTGCTTTTGGAGGTTTCTTTGAGGGACATAAGTGGGTAGCATCAATATACACTGAATTAGGAGAATATTGCCAACAGAGAAATATATTCCTTACCATTCTATTAGTCTTACGATTTGCAAAATAATGTTGAGATTGCAATAATTCACCATCTGTCATAAGGCGGTCATTTCGAAAGATTAAGTGTTGGGTCAGAAACAGATGTAATCTCAACCGGAAACTCGAATTTACCGGTCGAAATTAGTTAGTTAACGAGCGGACAAAGCGAATTCTCACTTCTTGCATCTATTACGTCCGACGGACTAAAACGAATATTTGCGCTGACTTTAATTGTCATCCATAAATTCCGGTAGGCTCCCTGGTATGCAAACAAGAAAATGAGGGAACAGTAAGTAAATGAATGATGACATATGCAGGAATTTGGATGATGCTGCGATGACAGGGTCCCTTGTATTTGTACCTTACTTGCCTTAAGTAAAAGCCGTAGAATAATAGCCATTAAGTGCTAGCAGGACGTCATGGTTTCAAAATCGGTAGACTTATAAAGAGTATCTTCAGTAAATTTAGTAATAAAACTGTAAATAGAGTTAGGCTTTTTCGATCTTTATAGGAATTTTATTCTCCGAGAATTTAATGAAATAATTATTAGCCACTTGTTGGAATAAATAACACACTTACAATTTAGTTGAAGTGTTTTGCATCAGCGCCTAATCGTAATTAGTTATAACCGTGACAGCTTCTTCAGAAATGTGAGAGTACTTTTTAATTAAGATGCTGCCTTTGTTACAGTTCCACCTGAACAACTGAGTGTTCTTGATGAAACAGGCGTTCATATCAGCAACTACGTTCTAGGACCATACAATGAAGGTTCTGCAATCAATATTACATGCGTTGCCACTGGAGGTGAGTTAATTTAATACTCTAGCTGCTTTGAGTTTTGCCGCAAAACGTTTATAGAACTACATCACTCCGTTTCCGTGTACACAAATGAAAAACGTACTTACTTTATAATATAACATATACTATAAAGTTAAAGATAAGCTTCTGCAAATAAAATAATAATTAACGTGAAACGTAGCGCACACCAAAAGTTTCCATACTACGTAGTACTAAGCTTCTGAAACTTTATGTGTAGGAGTAACTCTTAATTAAGTACATCATGTAAGTTGATAAAAGAAATATCTTGGATTGTGAAGGACTAAATTTGTACATGTAACTAACTAAATATTTAGAATAATTATGTTTCTTCTTAATTAATAGTAGCAACCCATAAGATATTGTAAGAAATTTCGCTTTCTTCTCTAAGGATTTTTATTACTGATTCATTGCCAAAATCCTTCAACATTGTTGAATACGTACAAAAATACAGTGTCGTCATAAAATATTGTAGTCAAGGAAGACCATGGTTTTGTTGACATTGTATGCCGCTTTTCACAGTTTTGTGGAAACGATTACACTAATATTGGAATTTTAGTTTTTAACGCTACATTAGTGGCTGCACTGTTTCGGCGCCAACGCTTCATCAGATTCTGTCGGATGTCAATAATTTTTTCGTTTTTACTGATTAGTGGTGCATTTTTCCACACGTTGTGCATTAATTGACTTGTCTTGTTGTTTTCATTTGTTCGAACTATAACTGTCTCAAAAAACAATTTTTATCAAAACTTCGGATCATTGTGGAATAATCTCAGGTAATGAACACAGAGGAATGACTATGGTCAGTGTTACAAATAACTTTTTTAGGTTAGGGTGGGTTATTTTTTGGAGCAAAACACGTTCATCATCATGTCCTAAGTATTACCGTAATGGGGTGTTAAATGAGGATGGGGACTGGGTGTATTCTGTGGATGCGTGTAAAGACGAGTATCTGGTGAAATATCCTGTTGTTATCGAGGAAGAATCTTTGAAGACGAATTGTGGTCAGATTTAACGACACTGGTAGCGTCTCCAAGGGAAAACCAACGAGGAGACTTCAAGTTAGTGAAGACGTTGTTGAAGATTTAAGGACGAGGATGGAACAAAATCCGAAGAAATCTTTGTCAAAACTCTCTTTACAATCCGCAGTACCATACAGCACGTGCCAGAAACGATAACAGGATTCTCGATTTGTCGTTCTTTTCTGATGACGCCTGGTTTCATCTGTCAGGCTACGTCAACTCACAGAACTTCAGAATTTGGAGTACAGAAAATCCACACGCCTTTGAAGAAATACTATTACACGCAGTGAAGATTGGTGTGTGGTTAGCTGTTTCCAGAAGACGATTCATAGGCCCGATATTTTTTTCAAGAGACAATTAATGCGACGAGATACAGGGAGCAAATTCTGGATGTGCGACCCCTTAATAAGTTTAATCCAGAGTGCGCCCCCCCCCCCCACTTGATTTTTCAATATTTGGATGGATGAAGACAGCCTTTATAAGAATAGAGTCCACACATTGGAGGAAAAAAAATGCTTGGACATGGCAGTTTTCACCTATTGTAGGGACAAAGATCAAGGCTTCCAGTTGTGTTTTTTCAAAAGAAAAGCACCGCTTACAAACCATGTCTCCCAATGTTTTGACGACTCCTTACAATTTACAAACTGAACTTTCGCGGAATCAACTTTAGCAAAATTATTTAATGCAAAAATTTATCATTACCATTTTAAAACAGTGGTACTGTTAGCTAATTGTGATAAGACTTGATCTGACAGTGTCCATTACGTTATTTTTCACAATCTTCCAGATGATTTATTCTCTTCAACTCTAATCGACTTTCCAAGGTGTAATTCTTGACAAAGCCCTTAAACGCATTTCTGATAATTTATAATTTTTGAAGGTCAAATGTATTGCAGTAGTGTTTACAAATGCTCGATAACACTGCAACGAAATTAAACCGCAAACCTGGCATTTCAATTTTCAACACATTTGACAGATTTGTTTTGACGTTCGTGACATTTCAACTGAGTTCAAATCATTTTGATGAGTAGCGGCACGAGAAAAATTTCACTTCTTCTTCACAGGTGAGTTGACTACAGTATTTTATGAGCCGTGAGGAATGAATTGACTGCTCACAGATACTCATTCAATTAGTATCCATGGTGCTTTACTTTATCGTATGTCGCGTATGACACTCATACATACATACAAAAACAAATTGGAAAAATTGAGCCTTTACTACATATTAAAATGAAGTGTTAAATTTGGCAGTTTCCTTTTTTTCGTGACACTGAAGGTCCTCAACTTATTTCAACAACTAACTTTTGAGTGGTGTTTCGAATGGACTGTTTAAATAATAATAACAATAATAGATATATAATCCAAGCAACTACATGATGATGATTAAAAATAATGACAAAAATGAAACTAATTCTTTACATTAAACACATCATACTCATCAAAATATTGTTTATTTTTTTTTTACCATAATCTTGAAACAGATCAGCGGCATATTAAATTTCATTATAAAACCTAATGTAAAGAAAACTCAACATTTACAATTTTTTTAGTAGATGGCATTAACGTAATATAGACGGTGAGAGATTGGGATTTTTTGACAGTTGACATGTAATTTGGCAGCAACCTAACACTACAAAATGCGCCGAAATTCCTACACTATCGCTGTCTCTGTTACAAATGTAAAACTACTGAAATTCCATTACTGCTGTTGCTTTTTTTTCTTAATATGTGTAGTCATGTTTTCACAACAAGACACTTAAAACATGTTTAAAATGGTAAATTTTTGCAATGGATTAGGCAATTGTGGGTATTGCAAAATCAATATTTCTTTATACAAATTTTCCATTTTAAACATGTTTTAAGTTTCATGTTGTGAAAATAAGTCCACACATATTGAAACAAAAAGGCAAAATGTAAGCCCGTCCATCCGCTCTATCTCAATTCTGATGATACAAGAAATTAAAAACACGTTTTTAAGTATCGTATTGTTCAAAGAATACTACGTACATTAAGAAAAAAATGCAAAATATAAAGGCCGCCCACCCACCCCATCTCAATTGTGATGATTTTTTTTTCTTAGAAACTTAAAACAGGTTTAAAATGGTAATTCTTTGTAAGAAAGTACGGATTTTGCAATTAGGCTGCACCACCTCTAGGTCTTTCCAACGAATGAAAACTTCACTACTATTTAAATCAGGGCGGGTATGGCTGGGACTTAATCTTTGGGTTCAATTTTTTCTTAATGTATGTACATAGTGTTCCTTGAATAACACGATGCTCAAAAACATTATTTACATGGTAATTTCTTTTAGAAGGTAATAAGGGTTTTGTAATTAAATTTCGCTCCTTTGGCTCTCGACAATTAAAAAAAAATCATCACAATTGAGATAGGGCTGGTGGGCGGGGCTTATATTTTGTCTTTTTTCTTAATATTATAATAATAATAATAATATAATTTATTTGTGTTAGGAATACATAGTATTTTACACACGTCAAAATGATAACAAATACATCAAATGAAATCATCAAAATTATTATTCAAAAATTCTTCAGTCGAGTAAAAAGATTTCGAAATGCAATACTCTTTTAATTTGTGCACTAAGATTTTTGCATCCAGTTGTTTAATTCTGTATGGAAGAACATTAAAAAACTTGATGCCGTAGTAATTATTTCCGTGTCTTGATCTGTCTAACCTTAAAATATTGTGACTAATCTCACAACTTCTTGTAGAGTAACAGTGATAAGAACTGAGCGTGTGATACTGAGCTTTATTTTTCGTGATATACTCTACACATTTACAAACATATAAACAAGGAAATGTTAAAATCTCTAATCGGATAAAATGTGGTTTACAGTCATCTCTATAATTGATGTTTGCGATAATTCTTAAGATTCTGCGTTGCAACTTAAATAATCGTACTGTTTGAGGAGCATGTCCCCACACAATGCTGCAGTATGCAAGATGCGATTCTATCAAAGCATAATAAGCGGTTTTAAGGGTACTTTCTGTCACATTATTCGCTAAATTTCTAAATAAATACGTATTCCTGCATAATTGTTCAGCTATGTTATTAATATGGTTATGCCAATTAAGAGTGGTATCAACATAAATTCCCAAGAATTTCGTTGTTTCAGAAAAACCATTAATACTATTATTATTAAACAATTTTAGAGTAAAAATTATTTTCACTAGTTTGCTTTTATTTGAATGCAATTTATTGGCTAATAGCCAACTTTCGATTTCACAATGATATTTATTCGTATGTAAATTATTTGTGGTAGCAATTGAATAGCCAACCGTTATATCATCAGCATATAAGACCATATCTGCCTGCGGTACAAGAGAAGGTAGATCATTTATATAGATCAGAAACAGAAGTGGTCCCAAAATTGAGCCTTGCAGCACACCATGAAGAATCATGCGCTCATCAGATAATGTATTATTTATTAGGACTTTCTGAGTACGATTATTTAAGTAAGATTTTATCATTAATATACTATTTGTACTGAATTGATAATACTTTAGTTTTTTTAAGAGAATTTCATAAGAAATGGTATCAAACGCCTTGCTCATGTCAATAAATAGGGCCTTGTAATAGTTACAATTTTCGAAAGAATCAGTAATCTTATTAATAAATGCGAGAATAGCATCCTCAGCGGATCTTCCCTTCTTAAATCCAAATTGTTTATTAGTTAATAGCTTATGAGATTCTAAAAATTCTAACATTTGCAAAAATAAAAGTCTTTCAAAAATTTTTGACATAATGGGTAGCAATGCAATTGGTCGAAAGCTATTGTTATCAAAACAGTCACCTTTTTTATATATTGGTATAACAATTGAGTTTTTTAGGCATTTAGGAAAAGTATTTGTCTCTAGACAATAATTGAATAAAGTAAGTAAACGGGGATATTAAAATGTCTTTTACAGGTTTGATGATCTCCCCACTTAACCCATAAATATCTTTG